CGACTAGGGCTGCAGACTCCAACTTAGAACTCCCAAGATGTACGGTAGAAGCTTTAAAGGAGGAGAGGCAAGAGAGAGAGAATTCTGGATTGGCCCTGCCGAAATACTTTCCTCCTTAGCATCTGACACGTGCCACTGAGAGACAGAATGTTGGGCTAGATGGACCTGAGGTCTGACCAGCACGGCCTCTCTTGAGTCCTTTTGACTTGCATGAATTGCCTTTCTTAGTCATCCGTGAGGGGAGAGGAATTTGGGTTTCATGTGCCTTCTCCTCCAATCCCTCTGTCAGAAAGAGGGCACAGGCTGCCAGAGATGGTCAGTTATGCTAAATTGCTTGGTGGTATTTTGACATGAATAAATATAAAGCTGTAGTATTTGTGTGAAAAGGTCAGGTTATGTGTTCACTTAGTGGAGTGCTCTGGCTGTTAGTGCTAGAAGTCTGCTACAATAATGGTGGCATAGTCCAGGAGATATGAGTACAGGACTAGGTGCCAGGAGTCACTCACTCACAGCGTGACTTGGAGCAAGTCACTTATTCTCCAAAAGCAAAATGAGGCTAATGATGTTCACTTCCGTCATGGGTTAAAGACAAGATTAGTTAATACTCATATAGGAAGGCACAGCAAAGTTGAAAAGGTAAAGGCTTAAAGTCCTAGTCTTCTGTCTGGCAGCAATAATGACAAGTTATACACGTAGTTCTTTCCCTAATTAATTTTCCACTTGCAACTCTAGTTCCATTTCTGTTTAGCATTGCATATCCTTGTACAAAACACTGCCAGCCTCCCTGCCCTCACAAAAGGGAAAGAACAATTTTCACGCAATGCTTGTTTTTTATGTTGCAGTACATTCCCCAAAGTTTGGCTTTGCTTATGTTCTGAAGGGAAGATGTTGGTGCTTATTAAGGAACATGCTGGTCTGTAATTCCAAAGAAGAACTAGTTTTTGGAGAGGCAAGATCCAGTGTGTGTTGGCTTGTCATAAAAAGTCAGAAGACTCAGCTCTGATTCTGACCAATCACTGCCACCTAATGTTACAATTAAAAACTGCATGCCAAATATTTCACTGGCAATAAGTCAGTCTGGGTGAAATTGTAGTCTTGATTTCAGTAAGAAAGACATTATTTATCAGTGTTTCCTTTTGTCTGTATGTAGAACATGACTCTCTAATGTAAACAGGGTCTCTGTGTTTGTTTGTTTTTTTTTAAATGTATCCTGTTAGTAACATTCATAGTTAGTAGGGTCGGAAGGGACCTGAGCAGATCATCAAGTCCAACCCCCTGCCCTAGGCAGGAGAGAATACTGGGCTTATATGACCCCTAGTAAGTTTAAGCTCAAATGACCCCAGCTTGGTAATTATCTACCTTCCTTTTAAAGACAGCTAAGGTAGGAGCCAGCACCACTTCCCTTGGAAGCTGGTTTCAGATCCTGGCTGCCCTGACTGTGAAGTAGTGCCTCCTGAACCTACTGTCAATCAACTTGTGGCTGTTATTCGTTGTTACTCTGGGAGGTGCTCGGGGGAACAGGGTCTCGCCTATTCCCCTCTGGACCCCCTGGTAAGTTTATAGATGGCTACTAGATGCCCTCAAGCCTTCTCTTGTGGAGGCTGAACAGGTTCAGGTCCTGTAGCCTCTTCTTGTAGGGTCTGCTCTGCTGCCCCGATCATGTGAATGGCCATCCTCTGGACCCTCTCAATGCTGGCCACATCCCTCCTGAAGTGCGGCGCCCAGAACTGGACGTAGTACTCCAACTGTGGCCTGACCAGTGTCACATAGAGGGGGAGGGTCACCTCCTTGGACCTGCTCATGATGCATCTGTGGATACATGACAAGGTGCAGTTAGCCTTCCTGACTGTGTCCCCACATTGTCGGCCCATATTCATTTTAGAATCGATAATGACTCCAAGATTTCTTTCTGCCTCTGTACTTTCGAGAAGGGAGTTCCCTAGCCTGTAGGTATGCTGGTGGTTCTTTCTGCCCAGGTGCAGTACCCTGCACTTGTCAGTATTGAATCCCATCTTATTCACAGTCACCCACCCCTGTAACCTGTCCATGGCCAGTTGTATCTTGTCCCTCCCTTCTAGCATGCCCACCTCGCCCCAAATCTTGGTGTCATCAGCGAATTTGAACAGGGTGCTTTTCACCCCCTTGTCCAAATCGCTAAGAAAGAAATTGAACAGTACGGGCCCAAGGACCGAGCCCTGGGGAACTCCACTGCCCACATCCCTCCAGATCAAATATGACTCATCCGCCAGCACTCTCTGGGTGCAGCCCCCTAGCCAATTTGCAGCCCGTCTGACTGTGTAGGCATCAATGACACAGTCGCCTAGCTTTTTAATGAGAACGGGGTGGGAGACAGTGTCAAAGGCCTTCCTGAAGTCCAAAAAGACTACATCCACCACGACACCTACGTCCAGTGATTTTTGTGACCTGATCGTAGAAGGCTATCAGGTTGGTCTGACAGGACCTGCCCCTAAAGAACCCATGCTGGTTGCCCTTGAGCATCATGCCCCCTGCTGGTCCCTCCCAGATCTGCTCCGATAATTTTCTCAAAGATCTTCCCCAGGACTGAGGCAAGACTGACAGGCCTATAGTTACCTGGGTCCTCCTTTCTCCCTTTCTTGTAAATGGGGACCACATTGGCCTTTTTCCAGTCATCTGGCACCTGACCAGAGCTCCATGAACACTCGTAAAGCTGTGCCAGGGGCCCTGCAATGACCCCTGCCAATTCCCTCAGCACCCTGGGGTGGAGAGCATCTGGACCTGCTGATTTGAATGGGTCCAGCCCCTCCAGAAGTTCCCTAGCTTGGTCCTCCCTGACCCTTGGTCTGGTAGAGTCTCTTCTGAGTCCTTCCTGAATCCCGGTGGGGGAGATGTCCCGGAGAAAAATGGAGGCAAAGAATTGTTAAAAAGGTCTGCATTTTCATCTGGTGCAACCACCAGATTGCCAAGCGTATCCTGCAGGGGCCCCACGTTGCCTGGTGCCTTCCTTTTACTCCCTATGTATTTAAGAAAGAACTTTTTGTTGTCTTTGAACCTTGTTGCTAGCCCCAGTTCTGTCTCCACCTTAGCCTTCCCAACAGCTTCCCTACAGACTCGAGCGATGTAGGTATAATCCTCTTTGGTGATAGCCCCTCCCTTCCACTGGATGTACGCCTCCTTTTTGGCTTTC